GTACTACAAAGACGGAGCAAAGGAGAACTCATTCAGTGAGAAGGAAGGGGACACAGCATTTCAAGAACCAACAGGACTCCAGCCTTTAGCAACCTCTGAGTTGTAAAGGTGAAAGACGTGTCTTTAAGAAAAAAGCTCCAGAGTACCATGTTCCAGAACAGTGGTGGCCTAGAGAATTTGTTCCTCAGGATTGGGTTCAGAGTGTTCAGCAATCTAGGCACTCAACTCCTACAATCAAAATGAAGAAAGCCCAGCTACTGCTCCAGCTGGCAGCAAACCTTGGCATCATTCACATAGTGCTGGTTTTAAATGCATGCATAATGCAAGAATTACAGCTTCTACCCAGATATCAGAAGACCCAACAGGCAAGACACTACTTCTGTTCTTTCTTATTTTTTTAACTTTTGATTTAAAATCTATTTTGTCTGATGTAAATATAGTCATTCACAGAATTCTATTTGCATGAAATATCTTAATCCATCCTTCATTTTCAGTCTATACATACAGATAGAGGTGAAGTGAGTTTTCTGTAAACAACAGATAGTTGAATAGTACTTGATAAACCATTCAGTCACATTACAGTGTCTTTTAATCAAACAATTTAATTCATGTACATCAAAGGTAGTTATTGATTAGTAAGGTCTTATTGCATCATTTTATAATTTGTTTTCTACTTTTATTGTAGTTCCTTCCTTTCTCCACATGTTAATTTTCTTTTGTAGTTAAGCATTTTACTATATTACAGTGTTTTTATTCCTCTTTGTTTATCACTTATGGCTTGTATATTCTACATTTTTATTTTTTGGTCACAGTGAGGCTTATGAAAATATTTTTTGATTATATCAACCTATTTTAAAATGATAGCAACATAATATTATCACAAAAAAGAAGTAAAAAAGAGAAAATACAATAAACTCAAAATTTGCATTGCATTCCTTCCCAATTTTGAAACTTTGATGTTCATTTTATATCTTTCTATATTTCTTATGTCACTTATTAATATGTTTTTTTTTTAGCCTTCAGTCTAAATATATGAATGGTTTACACACCATGTTTATAGTATTACGGAATTATGATTTTTTTGTTTGTCTTTTTGAGACAGGATCTTGTTATGCAATGCAGGCTGGCCTTGAGCTCACTTTGTAGCTCAGGATGGCCTGGAACTCACAATAATCCTCCTGCCTCTGTCTCTCAGGTGCTGGAATTATAAATGTGTGCCACAACACCAGGCTGAGAATTATGAATTTATGTACTTACTCTTACCTGTGAGTTTTATACCTTCTGATGTTTTCTTCTTATTCATTAACATCTTTTTCAGTTTGAAGAACTTCCTTTAGCACTTTTTACAGGATGGGTCTTGTAGGGCACGTATCAGCTTTTGTTTGTGTAGGGTTATTTTTATCATTTCCGAAGGATAGTTTTACTGGGTAGAGTAAGCTTGGTAGAGTTGGTTTTTGTTTGTTTGTTTGTTTGTTTGAATTGGTACTTTGAAAATGTCATGTCATCTCTTCTGTCCTATGTGATTTTTGCTGAAAACTCAGCTGCCACGGAAATTGGAAAAATTTTGTTTTGTTTCTTTTATTTTGCAATCTGGATAACTTTCTCCTTATCTTTAAGCTTTGAGAGCATGATTATAGTATTTATTGGGGTGTATCTGTTGAGCTCAAACTGTCTAGTGATCTTTGAACCTGGAGATTTGTTTCATTCTCTAGGCTTGGGAAGTTTTCTGTTAGTTGTCTGTCTGGCATTCTTGAATGCCTTTTAAATCTTAATAACCTAAATATTTGCTCCTTTAATGCTGTCCCAATATTCTTATTAGATTTTTTCATTTCTCTTATTTTTTCTCAAACTGTGTATTTTCCAATAAGTTTCCTTCTAGTTCACTAATTCCTCTATCTGATCTATGCTGCTTTCTATCATGTTTATAATTTTACTTAATATGTTTCTCAACTCAAGTATTAGTTTCTTTTAAAGATTTGCTTTCATCTCTTTGTTAAGTTTCTGAGTATTGAATCATTTCTTTGTTCCTTTGAAGCTCATTGAGTCCTTTAAAATAGGTGTTTTAAATTCCCTGTTACAGATGTCTCTACTGGTTACTACATGTTCAGTTTCTGTCCTTTATTTTGGCTGTCAAGTGAGGTCCTATTTCCCTGAAAGTTCTTGCTATTTGGCATGTAATACATTAGGTATTTGTCTCAATCTTTGTAATCTGGCTTTCTGCATGTTTTTCCAGAAATTCTAAGCAAGCTGTTTATTTTACCTGAGTCTATAGTCACTTGTGGTACTTTAACAGAGTGGCACTCTAAATATGTCTGTCATGAGACTGCTGTTGGTGTGTTATCATTGTTTCAGCACCAGAGGGTAATCCATGCCCAGCTTTGCCTAATTCAGTTGGTGTCAGTATGAACTGGGGGAGTATCTAGAAAGTTGTTGTTCAGTATGAATTGGGGGAGTATCTAGAAAGTGTTGTCCATCCCTACAGCCTTCTCCCTAGTGGTGAGGTTGGTCCCAATGCCTCATTCATAGGCACCAGCCTGTTATTAGTCACAGATGAATTCTGCTTAGGGGGTAGGGGATGCTAGAATCTATACAGTATTATGTTTCACCAGCTTAGCACTGAGTTCCAAGGCAAAGTCCTGTACTTACTATCCTTTCCTATTCCCAGAAAATTGGAGTACTGTTCCATGTAATGCTGCCTAAGGTTGTGGTAGTGTTTGTTTAGTCCATCCTAACTTATCATACATCCTTGGTGACCAACCTCAGGCAGCACAGCTATCCCCATGCCAGTCTTTTCAGAGGGAGCCTGTAGACCTGTCCTGGCATCACAAAGAGACCTGTGTCCCAATGGTAATGTTAAGCTAGGCTACATCTGAGTCTTCTACAAGGATCTACGTAGTCTTAGGAGTGTCTCCAGTCCACTGCGGCTGCTGGTTCAAAATTAACAAAATTTGATATCACATTGTATAGTATAAGGTACCCAATTTCTCCATGTCCTCACTTACACCTGTTATTTCCACTTCTAAGGTATAACCTTATTGGCAGAGGCAAAGTGATATCTTACTGTAGTTTTGAGTTGCATTTCTTGAGTAATTAATGATATGGAATATAATTTCAAGATGGGTTATTTGCATGTTATTTTCTGAGAAATATCTATTCAATCCAGGTTGTCTTTGTTACTGAGATGAAGAATTTATTTATATATTCTAGATATTGTTGAAGCCATTTGATGACAGGTGCTTTAAAATTCTTTTCACGTATTTCCAACATCTATTGATGTTGAGATCCCCTGTTATCTTTTGCTTCAAGTTAAGGCTTTTTAGGTTTTGGTGTGAATAATGAATTATTTTCTACTCTTGTATTCATCTTTTGCCTCTTTTAGTAGCTAACCATATTTTACTACTTAGCAGTTCCTAATGTTACATTATTCATGTTCACATTACTGACGCATATTTTAGTTCTCATAGGACCCCAACAGCTATGCAGTTTTGCGGCAGTAGTAAAGCATTGGGTATAACCATGAATGTGATGGAGGTAGGTAGAGGAGATGATTGCTGGAAACAAAGATATTGACAAGTAGCAAAATGAAGGAACTAGGAGGATCATGCACATCACAGTTGAAGTCACAGAAGTAAGGGAATAGAGAAGGACAATTTTCTGGGAGCTCATTGGCTCAGTGCCTTTACCACATTATGCTCATAATCACCACGTACTTCCATGAATGATCCCAGGACTTTTAATAGAATAATCAGCTTCAATCTCAATTTAATATAGTCTATGTAGAAAAATTGTCACTGCTAAGTAATGTAAAGAATCTCAGTGTCTAGGTGAAAAAATTAAGTGGTAACCCTGACTTTATTGTATCCATTCTAGCTGTACGACCTGAACAATACAATTCCTTTCTCTGGACCCAGGTGCAACCCCAGAGGTTCTTCCCCTATGAAATAGAATACTCATTTCTTTTCTGTTTGCCTCACAGAATGACTGTGAAAGAACATTGTACATTACACACACCCACACACACACACACACACACAGACACAAGCCATGCTAGAAGTGAAGCTTTTCTATTTCCTGAGCTGCCAAGATACATAGATTCTATAGCAACACATTCCTTTTGTCCCTATCCATGCTCTGACCCAAATCTCCCCTTCTTTGGCCCACTGCTACATTATACTACCCACCTCTCTGATAATTCTCTGTGAAACACATCCTAAACGAGTGAGGTGACCTACCATGGTTGTACATGTGGCAGCCTCCATGACCCACCCTCAGTTAAACTTGCAGTCATATCTCTTCCTCACCTGGCCGTCTCTTGTCCCCACAACTCAACGATCTATAAACTTCTTGTTTCTGATTAAAATGACTGAATAAAATTATGCTTCTGTCTGAAATGCTTTTCTTTCCCTATCGCTGCTTGGTTAAATAATATTTTTCCTTCAAAGCTCAGCCCAAACACACTGTGGATCATTTGGATTTTTTTCTTTCATTCATAGACTAGGAGAGGCCTTTTCCTCTACTGCAGTTCCTCTGCACTCTTCTCTGGAAGGCTCTTATCACAAATGGCCTTATTCTTGGTTAAATTATCTCTAAATATACCACATCTTCACTAGCTGAGAACATCTCTTTAGGTATCAATATATCTTACTCAATTACATTTTCTAAGCACTCAGCAGAAAGCTCAGAATATAGTAGTATCTAGAGTGTGTATGTTAAGTAAATCACTAAAGTAGTAAAAAGGGTTAAATTGCAAGTATGGTTTACAAAGAGGACAAACTGGAATTATGTGTGGAAATTACACAGAGTGTTCTGGCATGTGAACACTCTGTGTGGAGGGAAGGGGTATGGTTGGAAAGGGAGATGTGGTATGTGCTTATGTGCCACATGCAAAGAGGACAGACTTTTTCAGGGCTGTCCTCTCTATAGCTTGGCTCATGTTGGTTCTCTTCCATGGCACTGGACATGTATCCTCGTACATCCTGCCCCAGTTCCTACTTTCCTACCTTATGTGTACGTCCGTCTCCAGCCCATAAGCTCCTTCTTCAACAGCTTTCTCAAAGGCCATAATGGTATTCTCTGGTGCCACCTGTGGAGGAAAAGAAGATGAGACCCCTATGCCTCAGCATCTCTCCTCCCAATATCCCTTTTATAATAAGGATGGAATCTAGGAATGAAAGGACTTTGGGAAGCAGGGCTTCGCTCTCTTTTCAACAAGGCTGCCTATATTCTCCCCTATCTGATCTGACATTGGACATAGTAGAGAGAAATAGATTGAGAATAAAATGAATAGGTTTAAGTTCAACTCTATAATTAGCTCCTTTTTCTTGTCATATCAAGACAAGACCATTTTCTTTCCAGAGGCTCCTACATTACTGAGGTTTCTTACTCTCACCCACATGCCTGCCCCACATACTTGTACTTAGTCATGTTCATCATGCTCACACCTACCATGGGTGAACCTCTATGTGCAAAGAAGACTGGCTTAGGCCCCAACTCTTCTCTCTCTTGAATGCAGGGAGAATAAATCCCCAGTGGCATCGCATAGAGACACAAGAGAATAAAAACAAATGGCAATCCAACAGCCAACTGTAGAGCTAAATTTGTTGGAAGGAGAAGAAAGCCAAAGAAAAGAAAAAGAAGGATGGAAAAATCATATCATGCAACTACCTTAAAGCAGTAGTCTGAGTAAATGTCCTGTCCATGGGTTTCACTGACTTTGTAGATTGGCTGATTTACTTCCTATTTCTGTGACATCCCTCCTTACTTTCAGGGACTTGGATATAAATGTATAGTACTTTTCAAATATAAGGCTTTAGTGTTAAGGTAGCGTTATTGAACTGAAAAATGATGGGAACAGAACAGTACAGAGGATGGGAAGAGAAGGAGAGAAAGGGCTTGTTAAGGGGCCATTTCCCAGGAGGAGCTTGGCTAGTTCTGAGAAAGTCCTAAATCCCGTAAAGATCATGCTAAAATGCCTCTCTATTTAGGCCAGTGTAGTAGAGAGGAAAGGGCACTAAATGCCAGGCTTTATCATTTCCTAGTTGTATGACTAAGGACATGAACCTTAACCACTCTGGTCTTCACTTTCTTCTATAAAATAGGGCTATCTTTCTGTGAACATCAGCCCTACAGAGTTATTATAACAGCATTGATTCATAATAGTTACTCAATAAACATTGATTGTTTGCTTCCCTTTTCCCTGCCCTCCCCATCTCTCCCTCCCTCCCGCTCCCTGTGCACACGTTCACACACATAGTCGTATACAGAGCCTGTCTCTAATCCCTGTTATTACAAGTCATTTCCTAACATTGACTATTTTAGAATTCTGAGGATTTTACCCATTTCTACATTTTTAATTTACCAACTATGCTTCCATGATTTCCAAATCTAGGTCTTCATGTCTAACCTTTTAACCTTGTGAATATATTACATTTCTTGAGTCTTTCTTTCTCGTAATATGATATCCTGGATCTTCTTATTCTAACTAAAATTTAGAAAGTAAAAAAAAGAAGAGCGCATTATTGTCCTGTTTCAGTTTTTCCCCTGAAATATTTCCTAAAGGTTACCCTCCACACAGAAGCACACAAATACAAAAATACAAGGGTACCATAACCAGCCAGATTTCTCTAGCCTATAATCTCCCATAAGTCATAAACACCCTTTATTAAACAAATAGGGAAAAAAAAGGAAGAAACAGGGAGAAAATCCTACTGGTTTCTCAGTCAGTAGGGTGCAGAAAGAGAACTCCATTCTCAAACCAGTTTAATGTACAGATTACTTTCTCTTTTATCTCCATTACAGTAGAAAACAGTAACATACAGAGATATTTCTACTTCTACTGTAAGTTCCTAGGTATTACAGGACCTCACAGAGAATGTTGCTTTGACTTACTTAGGCGTGATCAGTAAACTCTAGGCCTAGTGTTGGTTGAATTAGTGATGTTTGAATGTAAACTGAAAGAACTATGCTTGTATCAGTCCTCCGAACAAGTAAATAAAAGTACACGCTACACCTCCATGTGGCACTGAATAGACAATGTGTAACAACACAGAGAAAAATCTTGTTTTTCTAGGGGAAGAAACCTTAGAAGAAGGGCCTTTTTGGTCATGGAAATACTAAGACTGTCTACATGGGCTAGTGAGAACACACCTAACAAGTTAAAAGAATTTAAAAGAGACAGGGCTAGGGATGTAGTTCAGCTCTCAAGAGCTTGCCTAGCAAATATAAAGGCCTGGGTTCAATCCCATATATCTCAAAGAGAGAGAGAGAGAGAGAAATTAGCCCGGAATGTGAGGTTGTGGTGTGGCACTGGTGAAATCCCAGTGCTCTGAGGCGGAGGCAGGAGGACTGCCACAAGTTTGAGGCCAGCCCAGTTTACATAGTAAGGTCAACCTGAATTGCATATCAAGATCTTGTCTCAAAAATAAATACATAAATAAATAAATAAAACATGAGGTTGGCTAGCCACCAAGTTTTTGTTTTTGTAAGTGGAATATGGAAGTTAAAGTCGGAGATGAGGGATCAGACAAGGAAGGCTCTACCCAGCAAGACATACTTTCTCTTTCCAAATGTGCCAAGTAGATGATCAGAGGCCAGGAAATGATAACCATCAGAGTAATGCAGCTCAGGTGCACATAAGGAGCAAAGATCTAGAACAAAGTCAAAAGTCAGACTAGATATATCAGGACAAACAATGCCAAGAGCTACAGAATGATCCTTACCTTCAGGGACAGCCCAACTACCAGCCACCTTTCATTCCAGAATCTGAATAAAATCAACATTAATAAAACATTCAGCAGGATCGTTATCATAATCAAGACCTAGGGAAACAGAAAAGATCCGATTTCTAGGGACTGGATTGGAATCGAAACAGTCCTTGGGAATTCTATGTGTATCTTCACAATATCAGGGACCTCATCTCCTCATCCTTTTCATCTAACCATCCTGCAAATCCCCAATCAGTTTTTTAATGGTGGACCCAATCACTTGCTTTCTTTGCTCCTCAGTGTTTGCTATATAGCACAACTGGGGAAATCACATGATTACATGTTTTGATATCATAACCAATCTGTTATTTCTAGTTTCAGCCAGGCCCTCAGCATGGCTTGGTTATATCTCATTCAGTTTCAACATTGGCCATTACAAATCTTCACCTCTTCTTTAAGGTTCAGTGGTATATTCAATATAAGTAAATGATATTTTGTAGTTGCAGTTTTTTTGAGACAGTGTCTCACTAAATTGCTCAGATTGACCTCAGAGTTGCGATTTTCCTAGCTCACCCTCCCAAGTGCTGAGATTATAGATGTGTACTTACCTTTTTGATGTATGTTTTCTGCAACAGACTAAAAGCTTCATGAAGTCAAGGATAATCATTGAATTATTTATGAATTATATTCAGTGCCTTATGGAATGTCTGACATACGGTAAGTATCTATAAATATTCAAACATCTGCTCTCCAGAACACTATATACTTCAGCGAAAGAGCAGTTAGACCACAAAAACATTACTTTTTCTTTATCTCCTATAATGCCCTTTAGAAAATCTCAAAGGAGACTGAAAGGTACACTGGTAACTAAAGTGTCAGCATCCTTGAAAAGCACTGTAATGGCTCCCCTCTATGTTTGAATGAAGAAGAGATGCTGCAAATGAATTGGGCTTCTTGGTTTCAAAGCAGATGATGAGATCCTTCTATGACACAGGCCAAATAGCAGTACTCAACTGGCTCAGGTAACTTACGCAGTTTCTATAATAGCCACAAGATAGGAATGATAATCAGAAAGGCTCAGCTCACAGGAATTCTCAGTAGTGATTAGTTTATCATGGTGCTTGCCACTACAAAATAAATGTTGTTACCAATAAGGCCTATATCTTTAGTTTGCAAATTACATTCTTCCTATAGAAGATCTCATCCATTCTAAATAACTTAAATTTATATTTTCAACTTGTAATTCATTTGTGTAACAAGAAATTTACTTGGAGCATTTGACATGTTTTTGAATTTGGGAAACACAAGTATAGTATCATAATCATGCCTAGAAAAAGCTATAAAAAAGAAAGAGGCAGCTAGGGGTAGTGGTGCACATCTGAAATCCCAGCACTCTGGGAAGCTGACGTAGCAGGACTGCAAGTCTAAGCCCAGCTAGGCCAAACTAACAAGAAAAAATTTAAAAAGGGCTGTGGATATAGTTCAGTGTAACAACACTGCGTTCAATCCCCAGATCCCCTCAGCACACACACACACCACACACACACACACACACACACATACACACATACACACACACACACACACACACACACACACACACACACACACAAAGCAAGAGGCTATTCCAGAGCTACTCAATCCTATGGTAGAACAAAATAAGAAAGGCCATATTGTAAACATGATATAGGCCCACAAATGACAGAGAAAAGTTGCTTGCTCTGTGGCTACAAGATAGGGGCCATGCCAGTATCATTTTAAAGGAATTCAAACCCTGAAAGCATCAAAAAGACATCAAAGTAGACACTTCAGGGGGTTATAAGAAGGTAAGCATTGACCCTGTGAAGAAAGTGACAGTCAAGTAGAAAACACACAGAAAAATGCCACGGAAGGACGAGACAACTATGCATTCATCCGATGCTCGTCCTGTGCCTCTGTGTGTGACTATTTTTCTCGTCTGTCTCCGTTAATCCTGGGCCCCACTTGGAGGGCAGAGAGGTGAAAGAGTCACCATGCCCTTTCCGCCACTGCAGGCTTAGATTGGGCCCGAATAGGAGAGGGAAAATTTTGAGATACATAAAGTTGGCGTCTAGATTACTACAAAGAACTAAAAACATTTTAATGACTGAAATAAGAATTTATCATGATGGAAAAGCACTAGAAAGGTAAGAAATTTGCCTAAGACTTAAATAAATAGAAATAACAGGGCTACAGGCTGAGTTTAATATGAATCAGTAAGAAGGGATAAAGTATGGGTTCTCCTTGAGTTCAGCCACTTCAAAAAATAGTTATAAGTCTTAGAAATTTAACTATTTCAATTTAAGTTGTGTAAGCAGATCTCTTCCCTCTAGGGGAATGATGAAAGACAGAGTGATGGTATATGTTACCCTGAGTGCCTAAGTGCACATTCAGCCCTGGTCTAAAGTCTCCCACAAGGACTCAGACATCTTACCTTATGACATACGTGCAGGTATAGCTCAATCCTTTCCCGAAACAACAAAATTCCAAGTATCTGAAAAGCAAAGACAGAAGACAGGGTTATTTTGAAATTATCAAGTTGCTGTCCAAAGCACTGCTGTATAGCTCAAAATGCCTCTCATAACCAAGGACATATGTCAGGTACTTTCTTCTATGCCTGTGCTTATGGCCTACAGAAGCTTGCCATGCTGTTCTTCTGCATGAAAAAAACAAAAAACAAACAAACAAAAAACACCTCTCTACCCATACAAGCAGCTTAAATAAACCACCTAGTTGTAATGTTTATCAGCACCACAAGAATTCATTATAATTTCCTCTAGGATTTAATAATAATTACCACACTGATGCTCTTCCTAAATTCCTAGCCATTTCTTTTCCCTACGATGGACTCCATTCTTGGTATTACTTATGGTGGACTTGCTTTCATGAGAATAAAGGTCAGGTGCTGGCCCTTCCAAGGATAACTTAAAAGTACTTTTGGGGGGAAATTTAAGTGTTGATGATAAAACTATCACTTACACTGGTATATGCTCAATAAACCTGAGATTTGAGCCAGGCACAGTGGTGCACTATGCAACCCCGGAACTTGGAAATGGATGCAGGAGGATCACCACGAGTTTGAAGTAAACATGGGTTACAGGGCAAGTTCAAGTCCAGCCTGAACCACACAGTGTAACCCTGTCTCCAAAAAAAAAAAGGAGAAAATAAATAAATCTAAGATTTAAATCTAAGTCTAGTCATTTATCAAATCATATGAAGTTAGAAACTATAAGCTAGACTCTTCAGAAGCTGGAATATTTATGACAGGCTGAATGGATAAGGGGCTCAGCTTTTTAACAAAATAATTTCATGTGCATGTTTTCATCTGTTCTTTACCCAGCCCTATTGTGTACCATTTTATTAAGAATTATGATAATTTTCATTTAAGAAAGGAGGAAACTGAGAGATGAATTAAACAGTTTGACCAAGATTACAAAATACCAATGAAGGAGCTGCAAAAGAACTGAATTGTCCTTCCTTTTTCACAACAGTTCTGATTAAATTTATTCAAAATAAGTACAGTAGAGTAGAAAGTCTGTTCAGATACAACTACTTTATTAGACACTAGAGCTCACTTTCACCTTGGAAGCTAACAATGCCATTTTGTGTTAATCATGTGCGAAAGTGGTACAATTCAGCCTACAGTTAGGCCTAGGACACATACTTGTGCAATTTCCTGACTGAAAAGAGAAGTCCTAAATGGTCTCTCTGCCTCTAGACACGCTCCACACCACAACTTCCAGAATGACTTTCTTAAATAGCAGCTTGATGTATGCCAAGTCTCTCAGCCTTACTTTCCAGGCCTTCCAAAATTTGTCACAAGAAATAGTTCCCCATCATTCCTCATTACGCCCTGTACACCAAGGGCCCTGACCCGTCCCTCTTAACAAGACATCTCACATGCTTCTGTCTCATCACTACTTTCTTATGATGTACACTGGCAGCGTTCTTCCCCATTCATGTGAGCAAACCCATCATCCTTTCAAAATCCTACCCCTTTAAGAAATCTTATTTAATCCTCTTTTTTTCTCAGAACTCCTGCAGCACTTCGTTTAGACCTCCCTAATGGAAATTATAATATTCCATCTGTGTTAGTTATTTTTGCCTATGACTTATTTGCCTACAAGATTCTAAACACTCAGTGAATGAACAGTTGTAATCTTACATCTCATACATATCTCTATGAAAACAGAAACCACATATGTTTTACTAATTTCCATATACTTAGTACTTGTCACAATGGATTTATATAATAAAAAATTTTGTTTAAAGAAAAAAATTAATTCAGATGGCAATAGATGTGTGGTTGGATTGTTTTGTATCAGATAGGAAATCAGTTGGGACACAGAATGTTGAAATCAGAGAAATCTGCTCTGTGTATAAACAGGCACAGAAAAAATATTAAATTATTAGTTATCCTCTCATTAAGCTCCCTTTTTCCACAGACTTTTTCTTGCATGGTATAAATTTCTGATGCTATACTACTTACCATGTCAGGCATTAGAAGCAGCGTCATACTATTACTAAAAGACTTTGGTTAAAACATACCTTGTACCTGGGCTAGTTGACTAACATGTACATTAGAATAGTTTTTATTTGGGAGGCCCAGAAACGCTGCGGATGCGAGACGGGGGTTATCTAAAATGGCAACACTGAGTGAACCACTGGACAGACTATGAAATGGGGGAAGAGAGAAGAGATGTTCTACCACCATTTGAAAAGGACAAACAGTCAGGCATATCCCCTAATGGCACAAGCCATTCCCCTGCTGACCATACCTTGTGGATAAAATGCACAAACCCCAATCCTACTAAGACTACAGTGATCCTAGATTCTGGGTGTTCCCAAAGCCAATGAGACACTTTTGCACAGGTAGGAGTACCTTGCAGGGCCGTTCAGGAAAGAGAAGTAGGAAGCACTACTTACCAATAGCAACAAAGTGTAGGCAGTCAGTATCCCAAATAAACTCAGCATTAGAATGGACCAGAAGAACCAGTATCCTGTTAGCAGAAAAACGACCCTGAAAAAAATTGTTTCAATCCTTAAAATCAGTAGTGATATCTGCATCAAGTACGGGGGAACGACCAGACTACAAAAAGCATAAGAAGGACATAAGAAAAGCACTTTATGGGCACATCTGTGAAAGCTTTAGAGATATTTTCTTGAGTTTTAACTTTCTCCTTAAGGCAACTGGGTCCATCAATATGCTCTCTATAAGTGGTAGGGTTTTTAAAAGTTATTAAGAACACATCTTCAAAAATTATGTCCTCTTTAAAGTACAATAAAGAAATTTTTTAATCCCAAAAGCGAAAAGAATCACCACATAGATTTGCTGTCTTAACAAAACTAGTAATTTTTTATTTTGTCAGGTTCTTTATCTATGTACACATATATTTTCTTACATAATTGCAATAATAACTACATATTAATTGCCATATTCTGTGTAAGAGATGAGGGCCCTTTAAAAATAGTCCTGATTATTTTGTTCCTAAAGTATTGTATGAGAGAAAACTAATAACAATTTGTTAGAGTAACAGTGTTATTATTGGTGTTGGTATTATATGTCAAGGAACTTAGGCTTTTCCTCTCAAGATAACAGAAATTATTTCCTGCCCATATAAGAGAAATACAAATTAAAACAACACTGAGATATCATCCTACTTCAGAAAGAATGGCAATTATCTAGAAATCAAATAATAACAGCAGCTGGTGAGATTGGGAATAGGGGATGGGGCAAGGAAAGAGGGAGAGGAAAGCGGTACCACAACCATGCAAATCAGGGTGGAGTCCTCAGAAAACTAAAAATACAAGTTCCATTCCACCCAGGTGTTCTCTGTGTATCTTCCCCAAAGAGCCAAAGACATCATAAAAAAGTAAGACAGGCATAGTAGTGTTTGTAGCACACAATTTATGATAGCTAAGTCTTGGAAGTGGTCTGTAGGTCCATCAATGATAAAGGAAGTGTGTTTGTACCCATCAGAGTACTACTCTGCCATAGAGAAGGATAAACTTAAGGAAAATGAATGCATCTTGAGATCATAATGTTAAGTGAAATAAATCAGACACACAGGTTTAAATATTGCATAGTTTCTCTCAAATGATAAATCAAAATATACAAAATAAAAAAGAGATAATAGGAAATAGGAAAGATAAATCTTTTGCAAAAGGAAAAGGGATCCAGTGATAAGCTGAGGAGGGAGAGGAGAAAACAATTTGAAAAAGGAATGAAGCTGTGTTATGCACATGTACCAACTCCACGCAAGCAATGCAATCACTATGTACTGCAACCACGTACTAATAAAAGTAAAAATAAATTGCTGATTAGCAACCTTAATTTTATCTGCAAATTCTCTCTTGCCATCTAATACAACATCACCACAAAGTTATAGGGGCCAGAATTCTGTTCATGCACAGACACACACACACACACACACAACCTCCTATTCTTGTACTTTGAAGAAAATGTGTTACGTGAACATAACTGTCAATCTTCAGTTAGAGGAATAAACATCACTTGGTCATGATAAAGGAAGTTTTATGTCCTTCCTTGTGGAGTGAGTTGGTGTGTTTTCAGTCATATGAGAGATAATCTCATCATGTTAGACAGAAAGAAAGGACAGTTAAAAGAAGTGTATATATTAAGATGACAGAAGACTGAGAGGATATATGAACAGGATCAAGTTTAGATGAACAGAAACTACATTTCTCAGAATTTTATCCCAGTATACAATTGAGATAGGATTGGTCACAAAACATTGCATAAAATACGTACTGCCTCAGCCTTCCAAGTATCTGGGACAAACTAAGTTCCTGGTTTTCATATCATTTTTAATTGAAATCCTTAATTTTGTACTAGTCTAAACATGTTAAGGATAATTACTTAGAAGTCTGTATCTGACATCTCTGTTATGTGCGTTTGCTATCAGTTATTTAGATTTGCTAGTATTTTCTTTGTTATCCATTGCTTCTAGTACTAATATGGTTTATCTTTGCTTGAGTGTTGGACATTATATATTTAAAACTTGTGCAATTAGCTTAGCATCATGGCACATGCCTGTAACCCCAGCATTTTGGGGGGCTCACGCAGAAAGGCTGTATATTCAAGCCTAGTCTTGGCAATTAAGCATCTTAATGAGATGCTGACTTAAAAGAAGAAATAGAAAAAAATAATGGGGGATGTAGCTCAGTGTAAAAGGCCTACATTCAATCCCTAGTAGTGGAAAAAAAGTTGTGTCAGTAATTTGAAACCTTGAATTACTTTATATCTGCTCAGAGGCGTTTATGACAGCTATCAGGAAATATTAACAAGTTTCTTTCTTCTGTTTCTTTTTTCACTGCAGGGAATTGAATCCAGGATCTCATGCATGGTAAACAGGGCTCTACACAGAGCTATATGTCCTGCCAGAAATTCTGTCTACTTTAATCCAATTTCACTCTCTTATGTGTTCTGTATATCAACAGCTGCTTCTATACCAGGCTGGGTCTGTGGATTTACATCTTTTATCATCTTTATTTGTTATTAGTACATGTTTGTAGTACATAGTGATTATACGTCTTGTGGGGAGTTTGTACATGTGCACAATTCTTTTTTCAACTTTTCCCCCTTCTCTAGCTCCCAATTCTCTCCATCTCTTGACAGAATTTCTATTTTTAACTTCCTGAAAAATCTCCATACTGATTTCCACACTGGTTGTACAAATTTACACAACAGTGTAAGACAGTTCCTCTTTCCCCTGAGACTTCACCAGCATTTGTTATTATTTGATTTCTTGATGACAGCCATTCTTTCTGGAGTAAGGTAATATCTCATTGTTGCTTTAAATTGCCTTTCCAATGACCAGAGATGCTGAACATTTTTTCGCATATTTACTGGCCATTTACTCTTCTTTTGAGTGGTGTTTATTCATTTCAATTGCCCATTTTTAACTGGATTTTTTTTTGGAAGGTCTAAGTTTTTTTGAGTTTTTAAAAATATATTCTAAGTATTTGTCACTTGAGGAATAGCTGGATAAGTGTTTTTCTCATGTTGTCTCTTCACTGTCGATTGTTTCCATTATTGTGCTGAAACAATTTGAGAGACTCCCATTTACTGATTCTTGATGTTATTTCTTGTGCATTTGAGTTTCTGTTCAGAAAGTTTTTGCCTATGCCTGTATCTTCAAGAGTTTTACCTACTTTATTTTTCAACAGATTAAGTGTTTCTGTCTTCACATTTACAACTTTGATATATTTTGATTTTAGTTTACTGCACGGTGAAACATATGGTTCTGGAGATAATCTTCTGCAGTGTGTGAGTGAGTTTCCTCAGCACCATTTGTTGAAGAGGTTATCTTTCCTCTGGTGCATGTTTGTGGCCTTTTTGTTAAAGATTGGATAGCTGAGTTGGCCTGGGGTATTTCTGCATCTTTTATTCTAGTCCATTGATCCTCATCTCTGTTTTTGTTGCAGTACTGTGCTGTTTTTTTTTTTTTTTTAACCACTATAGCTTTGTAATATAAGTTCAAGCCTGGGACTGTGATGATACCTGCTTTGCTCTTGTTCCCCAGGATTGCTTTTGCTTTTCTGAGTCTCTTCTGATTCCATACAAATTTTAGATTGTTTTCTCTAGTTCTGTGAGGAATGCTATTGGTATTTTGATTGGTATTGCATTAAATCTTTGTATCAGTTTTGGAAGTGTAACAATTTGGCAATATTGGTTCCACCTAGCCAAGAACAGTGTGTATCTTCATGTGTTTCTGATGTCCTCTTTGATTACTTTTTTCCGAGTGTTGTAATTTTTGTTGTAAAGGTCTGTCACTTCCTTGGTTAGGTTAATTCCTAAGTATTTAATTTTTCGTGGTGCTTCTGTGAGTGGTATTATTTTTCTCATTTTTTTCTTAGTGAATTTGTCATGGTGTACAAGAATGCTACTGATTTTTGTGTGATTCTGTATCCTGCTATACTACTTGTCTTAGTTATTGGTATTGCTGAAACAAAGCACCTGACACCTAAGGTTAAATGAGAAAAGTTTATATGGTACACAGTCTGTAGATGTTTTAATCCATAATCAGCTTGCTCCAAGCAGGGTGGCATGGCAGAGGGGCATTGCAGAGGAGAAATAGTCCATGGCAAAGCCAGGCAGGCAGAAGGTAGCCAGCAGTGAGATAACAATGAGCAAGTGACAATAGCAGCTTTTTTTTCTGCCTCTTTTATATTCTGTCTATGCTACTTAACTTAAAGTGTGCTTCAAACCCATCAGTGGACTAATTTAGCAATCACGTACCCTTAATCCCAGCATCATACATTGTAGATCCAGACATGTTCGAAAAAGCCCCACCAATGACTGCACGAGGCTTTGGGGGGCAGGGGAAGCATTTAGCCAAAACCATAACAACACTGAATTTGGTTATTAATTCTAGGAGCCTTTTGGTAGAATTTTTGTGGGTCTTCTATGTAGAGAATCACGTCATCTGCAAATACTGATCATTTAACTTCTGTCTTTCCTACACACATCCCTTTTATTTCTTTTGCTTAATTGTTCTGGCTAATGTTTCAAGTACTATATTGAACTGGAGTGGTGATGGTGGATGTCCTTGTTTTATTTCTGATTTTGGAGGGAAAGCTTTCAGATTTTCCTCCATGTAATATGGGGTTGGAATTGGTTTGTTACAAATGGCTTTTATCAGTTTGAGACAAAGTCCTTCTAATTCTTTTTTATCCAGGGTTGTTTTGTTTTGGTTTTGTTTGGTTTGGTTTTTTGTGAATGGATGTTGGATTTTGTCAAAGATATTTTTCTACACAGCTATTTTTAAAAGAGACTCTCTTGGATTATGTGAATGTTATGGATTAAGAACTAGTGGTCAACTTAACCCCAGCTGGATTACATCAGCATGGCACTGAGCATAGATGCTCCACCTGAGGAAAGTTGCCAGCATAAATAGAGAGGTGGAGAAGGAGAAGGAAGGTGTTAATGCATTGTTAGATTGAGGTATTGAGGCATTGTGGGTTCTCCTAGGAGTTGCTGTTTGAGCTGTTGGTTCT